TACATATATATTTGAGCATGTATCAAGGACAATAAAAGCAACGTTAATAGAGCTGTTTAGAGAATTCATAATTATAAATGCATTTATATTTTAAACTGCTGCCTTTTTATTTTTCTGTTTGTTCATCTCCATCTTCCAATTACACTGCTGGTTGATTTAGTGGAAACAATCCATTTTTATCCCAAACTGATCTTCAGTCTCCATTCCTGTAATTTCTAGTTCAATTATCCTTATAAGCAGGCAAAAACAAATTTAAATAAAATATAATTTCCTTTCACCTGTGTTAAGAGCAAACATTATTATTGGAGTTTCAAATTCTACTGAAATAGGAGTATGCTGACAGGATCCAACTATTTTGCCTTTTTTCCTTTACCTTTTAAAAATGATTGACATTTCCTTGGTTTTGTTCCTTTTAACACTGTTTAAAAAGTTGGTGGTTTTGATGTAACACTTTTACAGACTGTAAGATTTTTATAACAATAGCACTGATAGCATTCAACTTAATAATTAACAAGGTACGATTAGGAAAAAATTCCCAAGCAGAATATACTTTAATTGAAGAACAACAAGGAAAATGTTGGTGCCTATCCTTTGTCTATAACTAAATAAATCCTTTCTTAATTTAAAAAACAAACAAACAAAAAAAACCCGAACAGTATTATTTGTGTATTGGTACACAAAATTCCTTTTGCAAGTTTTAAAGTCTTAGACATAACAGCGCAAAGAATAAATGGAAATGCACAGATGTTGTGTTATTCTCACAACACAATATATTTTACCTTTGCTTGGTTTCCCCCGTTGTCCCTCCCCTTGTTCTCAGTCCATTCATTCTAATCACTTATTTTGAATTACAGTTATGTTTTGGTCATATATGGCAAAAGTTTCAAATACTATTTTATAGCTCAAATTATCTTTGTTAAATGTGCATAGTCAAGTGGAATATAGGATGTTAGATGTTATAATTGTACACTGGCTACTTAGGATGAAAGATGTTTTAGGTGAAGTGGTGAAGCAGAAGGATAAGAAAAGTGAAGAAAGTGAGGTGAGAAATGGATTCAGCTTGTGACACCTTAATGTAGGTATTTACAGGAGGTGTCTGTGGTGAGCATTCTTTCCTTTGCTTCACAGTAGCCTCATCGCTAGCAACCTAGTCAATATGTTAGTGTTGTTGCAACACAATTCAGCTGTCATGCCAATAGGTGTCTACTTCCGAATGGGTTGACTCACTTTCCAAGCTACATCATCTGTAATGGAAAATCAGATTCCTATTTCATGTGTAGCTACTTAAGTTTAGACATGTAAATTTATAAGCTTGAGCTAAATCCCGTGTGTCAAACAGGTCACTGCTTTGTGTTTTTGGCATTTGTGCTGGTAGCCAGAGCAAATTAGAATCCTTAAACAAGAATTCATTAGATTTCTGTGGACAGACTTTCAAAATATTTAATGGTACAGTCTGGGGCTGATAATTATTTGTGCAGGTGACACTCACTGTGTATAAGCAGTGTTTTTGTTCCAGTTGCATACTTATTTTTTTTTCCTGTTTCATCTTAACCCACCTTTTTGAGCTAATTGCATTGTTTTCCATCTATCTGTGCCGCCACACATCTGCACATAATATTCCTGAGGTGAAGAGTGGATGCAAGTGAGACAAAAGCTGTGCAGCCAGGTACAGAGAGGAGCTGGGTGAATCCACTCCCAGCTTCCAGTACTCGTACTCTTCCCAAGAAGGGCTGTATGGCCATCAAAAGCCAAAGTCCTCAGACAGTGACACTCCGTAAGGTCTGTAGCATGGCTTTCTTAATAACTGCAGAAGCCAGCAGCAAAGGGCAGGTATCTCTACAGAGGGCTTGGGACATACAGGGCTTAAGTGACATGGTTTCTCCAGTGCATGAAAGGACCAAAGTGAATAACATAGACAAAAGGATTTGCACTGATTCAGAGAATTGTAGGGGCTGGAACAGACCTCCAGAGATTATCAAATCCAAACCTCCTGCCAAAGCAGGCTCCCAACAGCAGGTTGCACAGGTTAGTGTCCAGGCAGGTCATGAATGTCTCCAGAGAAGGAGACTCTACAACATCTCTGAGCAGCCTGTTCCTGTGCTCCATCATCCTTACCATGAAGAAGTTCTTACACACATTGTGAGGAACTTCCTGTGCTTCAGTTTGTGGCTATTTCCACTAGTCCTATTGCCACGCATCACTTAAAAGAAGTCTGGCCTCGTCTCTTTGCCTCCCACACCATAGGTATTTATAGACATTGATCAGATCCCACAAGATTGATATGACATAAAAACAGGGAATTGACACAGTAGAACTGTATAAGAATTGTAACCATCCAATTCTGCTCACATCTTCCCATACTCAGTTTATCCTGAAACTAAAGCATGTCGTTCTACACAAAAGGTTGTTCCTGTCCATTCTGAATCCTATACCTACTCTCCTGCACCTTTTTTTTTTTTCCCAAGACTCTTCACAGTGGAAAAGGTTTGCAGATTCCTGCTATGCGCAATGTCCTGAGCATCTTTTGCCTTACTAGCTTTCTAGACCAACTTGCCAGCTTTTAAGGTTAGAAAATAGTTGGACCATGGAAGCTTGCTGGCAGTGCCAGTTATTACTACTGACTCTGTTTAGAATTCAAAAGCAAAACTAGAAATTAACATTGTATTAAGGAGCAGAGAAATCTTTAGAAATCATATATTGGCTTGGGTTGAAAGGGACCTTGAGAATCATCAACTTCCAACCCCCCAGCTGCTAAATCAAGTACTAGATCAGACTGCCTCAGGCCCATCCAACCTGGCCTTGAAAACCTACTGCAGTTCAAAACAGAAATTTGTTTTCAGTATTTCCTGGGTAGAAAACTACAAACCTCTGGTAAATATGTGAAATTTCGTGTTAAGCAGTATACATACTAGTGATTCTGTTGGATTCAGTGTTTCCTGTAGTACTTTGGCACATCTGTTAGAATTTTCTTCTCACAAAATGGGATTTTAGAACAAATATTAAGGCTTCATTCTTGTATTAAACTTGGCTATGATGCCAAATTGATTTATACATTGTGGACTAATTTGCCATCCCAATTCCCTGTTATTCCTTCCCATATGTTCACATTGGGAATTCCCCTATCAAGTGGAAGCTCATATCAGAGTTGACTCCAGAGTCTATTCCAAGTCTGAAAACAGGCAGGGCTGTCAAGTAAAGGACAGACTCTGCGAGCAGAGAAGACCTTAGAGTGCTGAAAGGATCTGGACAAGAGAATTTGACCTTACGTGTCCATGTTTCAGTTCTGTTTCTGAAATAAATCTACTTGACAGTTTGGGAGTTTTGCCTTGATCAAACGTGCAGCTATTTGGTTTACAGAATAGCCAAGTTTAACTATAGGAACAGCACTTGTTAATGTCAAAACATTGTTTATGTACCATTTAATCTCCTGTGATGGTGTACGTATTTGCTATATACTTGCTTGAGTTATTTTCATCAAGAAATTCTGTCTATGTGTCACTTTGGCAACATCTTTGCAGAGTTTACAACTTTGAAAAACATGTTGGCATCAACTATGCAGTCCTTTTAAACAGCTGCTCTGCAGTCATGCTGTTTTAACATGCCACTACACATGGTTGAATTATGCAAATAGTTAATATTAAATGACTGAGATACAAGAACAATTTGTACACTCAATAAAGCCGGTCTGTGGAGTGTAACACCCATTCATGTAACTGAATGAGTCTGGGGCAGTTTAAAGATGTGATTCTTTTGACTTTGAGTACAAATACTTGTATTAAGGCAGAAATGGACAGAGAGAAGCTATATGGCAAGAATGTTTTGTAAGGCTTTTCTTTTGACTACTTATTAAAATGCAGTGAAAACAGACTGTGCATCAATATACTTTTCTGGCAATTATTAAGAAATAGGTAAGGCACGGCAAATGTTTGTCATTCAGCTATAGATATGAATTACTCTGCTTTGATTGAGAGATAAGATACAATGCTAATTATAATGCTGATATTTTAGCAGTGTTTATTGAAAAAAGGAACACTGTAAGAAAGCTAAAACATAGAGTTTAAAAATATATAAAATTGTCTTACACTTTGCATGATGTTTCTACTGACTTTGCTAACCTAGCTCTGCAGTAATGAAGCATGAATTATGTACAGTGTAGAACGACAGATAAAACATTCTGAATTCTGTAACTTAATTACCTACTAGATGTAAGGGAATAGAACTTTAGGCACGAGGAGATGCATGACAACAAAAGAAGGCAGCCATTTAAAGACACAAAATACCATGAGTTTTCCTTTCTCACTTTACAGTAACTTTTGAATGGATTTTTTTTTTCAGCTAAACAGTAAGAAAGCGTGGTTTTTGGGTTTTTTTTTGTTTTTTAATCAGATTGTTTAGCCAACAAATTATTAGAATATTAAAAAAAAAAAAAAAAAAAAACTGAGTATTTCCTCATGCTTTTCCTTTTTATTTCCAATGTTGGAATTTTTTATGTTTCGCAAAAATTCTTTTCCACTTGATCCCATTTTTACTCTAAGTCTTCGTAAGGTATTGCATTGACTTTTCTGATCTGAATATAAAGACACAGGTATATTTCTAGTAGTAAGACTTTTGTGCAAGACGCAACACTTGAAAGTACAATTTATCATATACAAATTATGTTGGTGAACTCCCTCTGCCTGAACAAAACAAACTCAAAATATTTCTTTTAAATTAAATGGAAGCTTACCTTAAAAGAGATAGTGCTTCTTCATTACACAACAAATGTTGTCTTTTACAGCAATTATTCAGTACAAAATTTGAGTTGTATAAATAAATCGTATGTACGTTTTTCACTTTCTTTTATTAATATGCAATTAGTAATTTTGTAAGTATATGGTACTTGTTGGATTTTCTATTCCACTTTCATTTTTCATTTGATGAATAAAAATCCATTATTAACAAAACAGATTCAAATGTAATTTTACTGATTAACTGAGCATTGCCCTTTTATGGTTTTCCAGGAACTAGCCGTAATGAAACAGATTCTAATTAATCTACAGGATAAACACAAGGAACAAAACTTACTTCCATCTCAAATTAATTTAAAAAGTTTGACTGCAGAAAACAAATTAAACCCTTCAGTAAAACCGCTGCCAGAATATGAAGAAGAAAATGTATTTAGACCTAAGCCAACATTATTTGTAAGTACTATGCTAACAGTAAGTGCCATCAACTTATTTACTCACACTTTAAAAAGAAAAAAGGTAATTTATACTTCAACGAGGTATATACTTTATTCCACATAATATTTGCAACTTTGTGTGGCTGTTGTTGATTTTGAGGAGACAAACTGCAGTTTGTGATGTTATTTACATGTTTGGTAGTTCGTGCATGTAAAGTCTGAAGTAAACAAGATTTTTAAAAGAAAACCAATTATATTACTATCAGTTCACAAAACTGTAATGAGCACAGAATAAATATGCAATTTTAAGTCTACCCTGAGCATGAGGTGATTGTGTACGGATGTACTGAGGAGCAGCAGTGGGGAAATAAATGTATTTATGTGTATTTACGCTGCTGCATATACATGTATGCATACAGGCACATGCCCAGGATTTTTATAACTTCTGTTACTATGGATAATTTTGATACTATAAAACCTTGTTCTATACCTTTAAAAAATAAATGCTTGGATTTAAATGCTTCGGGTTCCCTACTGAATTTAGTGTTTCTGGTATTTGAAAGGTTCTGAAAAATGATATAGAAGCTTCTGATAACAAGTGCGCCTCAGCTGATAAATTTAAGAGAATTATAATGCTGAGTCACAAAGCAAATGATAAATTGTATTTACAATAGTTGCAGCTGTTTTCCTCTAGGGTAGGCTGGTTCAATCTACACAACCCTCTTTTTTTCCCTTTTCCCTGGGCCCAATATTTTGCTGCTTTGGTCCAAATGTGTATCTATATATGGTTGTTTTTTGTTATTTTTATTTCTGGTGGAATCTTCTTAAAATTGAAAGAGACTCAAATAATGTAAGATTGATATTGCAACACGTCAGATAATGTTTTTGTAATACACAATGTAGAGAATGATTACATCCCCTGAGTATGGCATGAGGGCATTTGGGGACAATTACTTAGATTATTCAGTGGTTGTTATTTTGCTTAGACAGTGTTTTGAGACTGCTCAGAGGTAAAAGGCATGCCATGTGTTGTCTCATCTGTAATCCTTTTGGAAATGCTAAATCATATATCCCAAGCTTTTGTCTTTGGTGCAGTGACCCAAAGACAAACTCTGAGCTAACGATTAGGTTGTGTACATGATCCAGAGTTTGAGTGTATAATCTGTCCTGCCTTTCTTAGGGATATAGAAATGATGTGGCAATCTAGAAAAAGAAACGCTTTGACATGTTGAAATTGTTCCTCATATAACTTTGGAGTAGGAAATGCAAACAAGCTGATCACAGCGTTTCCCACTAGATGGGGAAATAATTCAATAGTCCTGTTGAAGTCCTGCCCATTTAGGCCAATTTTGAGAGTTTTAATAGCTTATACAAATAGAGTAAATTTATTTTTATAACTGAGAGCTTCAAAATCAGAGAAAGATGAAGATTTAAACATGATCCAAGGCGAGCTGAATTTGAAGACTGATTGGTTATTAAGTCTTGGAGGAACAGAACAAATAGGGAGAAGAAAACAAACTGTTTAGAATGAGTTTAGAGACAACAGATGCAAGAAACAGTATTAGCAAAAGCAAGAGTTAATACTGAAACTTGAATGTAGAACAGTCCTTAACCTTGTTCCACCTTCGCTTTGTTTTTTTTCTTCATATAAACAACTTCTGAATTTGCCCCAAGAATGTTCTATACTGTCTTGAATGTGCGGTAGCCCAAAGGATTATGAAAGCAAGAAGTTACTCACTGATAATTCTCTACCAATAAAATTATTCCTGCATTGTCATTAAACTGCTGAATTCTTTCATTTTAGGTTATAATTTTTTGAGAGCTCTTATTTTGGACAAAGTGTTGGTCTATGGCACACACAAAATCTCTTTCCTGAGTTTCATCTCCTTCTCTAACGGGAGCACTGAATAATGATATTTAGAATGAAATCTATCTGTGCTACACTTGACTCATGTTCAATATTTTAAAACAAAACATTTACCTCATCTGCTTTTTATAACCTAGAAATCAGCTGGTTTAAATACAGATATGTAGCAATAATAACCTTGAATACATAGTCTTACCTTTATTTTACTTTCTTTAAGCAGAAAAAAATGATTTAACACTATGAGGTACATAGGAAAGAAAGAGAATTCATCATAGATTGCATGTTCTTATTCTGACTTTTGCTCTTTCTCACAACTAATACATTCTTTATGTTACAGACAAATACACAGGCACCTGTATGGTACAAGAAACTGCAGAAGAAAACATCACCATAGCATTTTTCCGTAAATACTATGAAAATCCTTTAAGGAGATTTTCTTTGAAGAAAGATATTTTCACCATAATAATGCCTCTTTTCCCATAAAGGCAAACAACTCTTTTGTTTACAATTGTTGCTTTATATCTGTGAAATTATCTTATGTTGTATACTGTAATTTTTAGATCTGCCGTGTGAATAAAATGTGTGGAAATAATGCATGCAATGAACTTACTACCATATATTTGAATTTTAAAAGATAAATAAACACCATCATATTGCATATATTTATAATCTGACTTGTAAACGGTGTCTTATTCATAGCATTCAAATGAATGCATGCTTCAGCTCTCTATATTGTTTTTCTTGGACCTTGTGCTTCATGTCACATTCCCTGCAACAATTCTGGCTCACAGAAATTGAAAAAATATACATGAATTAGCATCAGACTGTACCCTACTTTCTGTGAGGGAAATCACAGAATTGTAAGAGCTGAAAGGGAGCTCTGGAGACCATCTAGTCTAATCCCCTGCTAAAGCAGGTTCCCTACATTACATTATACAAGAAAGCATCCAGGTGGATTTTGAGTATTTCTATAGAGGGAGACTCCACGGCCTCTCTGGGCAGCCTCTTCCAGTGCTCTGTCACCCTCACAGAAAAGAAGTTTTTCCTCATGTTCAGATGGAACTTTCCGTGTTCCAGTTTTTGCCCATTGCCCTTTGTTCTGTTGCTGGGCACTGTTGCAAACAGCACACTGCAACCACTTGACATCTGCCCTTCATATGTTTATAGGCATTGATCAGATTCCCCCCTCAGTCTTCTCTTTTCCAGGCTGAACAGACCCAGGTCTCTCAGCCTTTCCTCATGTGGGAGATGCTCTAGCCCCCTCATCATCTTCTTGGCCCTCCACTGGATTCTCACCAGTAGATCCCTGTCTTTTCCATACCGAGGGAGCCCAGAACTGGACACAGTACTCCAGATGTGGCCTCACCAGGGCAGAGTAGGGGGAGGAGCACCTCCCTCAACCTGCTGGCCACAACTCTTCTTAGTGCACACGAAGTACAATTGGCCTTCTTCGCCACAAGGGCACACTGCTTTTGTATGTCAAGTGAAAAAACAATTCCCTTATCAGCCCCAATTTGTATAATTTGACAATTAATATCAGGTTATTCAATCATTACAGATCTTCTGCTGAAGCAATGAAATACATCTTAGTTATCAGCTTTGATACTCGGGGCTAGATGCATTTGCTCTACAGTTCTGTATCACATAAATGTTGATGGCACTGTTTAAGTAAGTGCATACTGATTTCACTCAGATTTCATTTAACTAGAAGTTTCTTTTTTTCTTACTTCCTGTTTCCTTGACAGTATCTCTTCAACTGCTTCATCGTTCCTAGCTGGATGTGAACAATAATTATTTACTGTATGTAAATATTGAGCTTATGATTCTTACATACACTTTTCTTCTTCATTTTCCAAACATCAAGTTGAAACAGTACTTGAAGCAATACTTCCTCTACTGAAGGTAAGCTTCAACTTTTGCTAATTCTGAGAGAGTGAGGTAAAAACACAAGTATTTGCACACCATGGGATTAAAATGATGTTTCTTTGAATGAGGGAGGCATAGTATGTAGACAAAGGTAATTGTTCACGTGGGAAAAAAAGCACTGATATTTGGACACACAAGACTATCTGTACTGATATTGCTTGATCAGCTTTGGTTTCTTGAAGTCTAGGTTTTTCTGTAGTGCATTTTTTTGTAAATAGAATTGTTGTTTTTGTGTGAGACAGCTCACATATGCAGATAATAGTTTTGTAATAAGTATTTAATCTGATTCACTGCCCCTAATTTATCTTTCCCAGACTGTCTTGCTTGTCTGTTATCACCCAATAATCAGTAAATTCTGTTATCTGGACCTGTGAACTATTCTAAGATGCTAGCTGCAATCTTTAGTATTCACTATTTGTTCTCCAGTATGGACAAATTGGTAAGATATAGACTATGAAGTGGATGGAAATTTGGCCGACACACCAAGCGCAAGGAAATGTGATCAGCAACGCAAAATCCAACTGGCAAAGGCGTCCTTCAGCAACTTCACAGTCAATGCCAAATTTGGAGACGTAGTCTCTACCGGGCAGGGTCTTGGACAGACATCAACTGGCTGGAAAAATGACCCAACAAGAACCATACAGAGTTCAAAGGCAAGTCCCATCTCTAGAACCTCATATTCCAGGACTGACAGGAAGGCGGTTTGGGAGAAACAGATCTCAACATTATGGTGGGCAACAAAATTAACATTTCAGCAATACACCCTTGCAGCAAAGGATCCCTGGCTGTACTAACAGTATAACTAGCACATTAAGGGAAGTGCTTCTTCCCTTCTGTTTGGTACATGGGAGACCACATCCAGAGAGTTATGTTCAGTTTGGGGTTTGTTCAAAGCGTTCATGTACAAAAGCGAGTCCACAGAGATTCACCATGATGATCAGAGGCTGGAGTACATATTGTAGATGGGGAGGCTGAACAAATTGAGACTTAAAGGGCTTGGCAGGGATCTTGGTGCAGTCTCCAACTACCTGATGCGATGGTAGGCCCTCTGAGGGCCAGCCTGCCCTCAGAGCTGCACAATATAGAATAAGACGAAACTGACAAAAAGTGCAACACCAAAAATTTCAAGTGTCTATTATGAAAAATTGAACACCTCTCCTATGAGGACAGGCTGAAAGAGCTGGGGCTGTTCAGCCTGGAGAAGAAAAGGAAAAACTGAGAGCAGCCTTTCAGTATCTAAAGTATCTACAGGAAAGAAGGGGACAGACTCTTCAGCGGAGTCTGTTGTGAGAGGACAAGCGGAAATGGTTTCAAACTTAAAGAGTGGAGATTTAGGTTGGGTATAATGAAAATGTCTTTTACAGCAAGGGTGGTGAGGCACTGGAACAGACTGCCCAGACAGGTGGCACTTGCCCTCTCTCTGGAGACTCTCAAGGCCAGACTGGTCGGGGCTCTACACAACCTGATGGAGCTGTAGATGTCCTTGCTCATTGCTCAGTCAGGGGAGCTGGACTAGATGGCTTTAAAGTTCCTTCCAACTCTAAGGATTCTATGACTATGAGGATGGTCAGACACTCAAACACATAGCTCAGGGAAGTGGTGGCATCTTCATCCTTGGAGAGGTTTAGCAATCAACTGGGCGAAGCCCTGAGCAATCTGATATAATTGGACCTGCCTTTACATTGGACCAGATGATTATTTTTCAGAATTCCTTTCCAACCTAAATTTCTCCATGGCAACGTTTCTAAATATACAAGATAGCGACATTAATTTATTTCTTAATGTTTACACTTTTTAAGTATTTAAGATGCTTCCTGAACGAATTGTGCTTCATAAATTTCTATGCAGCAGCCAGATCTTCTGGGAGGGCAGACAAAAACTATTATATGGTGAAATTATATCAATTTAAACAGTTCTTCAGATGACAATTTGACATTTACTGGATTTTAAGAAAATTAATAACAAACTCCCAACATGAAATTTACAAAAATTAATTTGTCTACATATAATGACAATTCATAATGCTTTTGGTAAGTTCATATAAAACCTGCTCCATGTGTACACTTTTTTTCCCGCTGAAGACTGTATTTTTCTTGTCTCTCATCATTAGACTAAGGCTATAGTTCATTATTGAGGGAAAAAACTTTTAAAAAGTGAAAACAAGAATGTCACTTAAATGTAACTATTCAGACACAATGAGCCCTACAGCAAAAATTAATAAATATTTGCTCTTTAAGTAATGAAAAGGTTCTATTGTATTACCTGTACAGTATTTTGACTGATGCTATTTCCTGCAAACATGGCTGCAAAATGAATTATTCCAGACTTATTCTTCATGAAATGGTCATTATAGTTTTCCATTGCAGTAGGTCTTGTGTCAATGATGTATGAGTCAAAAGTAATGAAGTAAAGAGAAATTTCAAAGGGCAGTCACGCATATAAGAAACTTGTGACTGAAGTGCCCAACCCATATAATCAACTTCAGTTCCTCTTTTTCAAACCAAAGAGAAAAAAGAAAGAAAATTCTCTATCCATTAGTACATTTCTTGGTACACTACGTTGGTGTTACTTCAGTGTAGAGTTTCCTAAGTACATAGGTTGAACAGGAAAGAAGGAGGCATAGTTGGTTTAGAGAGGTAAAGACCTTTCAATCGTTTTTTTTACAGTGTAATTGCTTTCTCACATTTCTGTTTCCTTCTAGAAGCAAAAGGCTTCTGACACATCAAGGAAATCAAAGAAATTGAAAACATGAAATGGCTTTTTTTAAAAAAAGCACTACTTTTAAAGTGTGCTGCTGAATCCTGTGGTCACGCTTCTCTCGAATTTGTAGTTCCTAAATATTTTCTGTGCAAAGAAATTATATATCATTGGGATATGCAGTTTTCCTCCCTTCCAAGACATTCTGTATAAAATAGCAATGAAACTTTGGAAAACAGGAACAGCTGCAAATTTTACATTGCTTGTCTGAGTATTTGTCAGTATCTCTGAGATAAGATTTGCAACCTCTCAGACTTCATTATTTTCAGTTTCAGTTATCATTTTATGTGCTATCTAGTTCCAGGAAAAAGGAAGGCTAACTCCACTTCAGCTTCCAGATGGCCACACCGTGCTTCCATGCCTTTGGAAGACACAAGGCAGGGAGCGTGACTTTCTAGAAATCGTGTGGTACTTTTTTGAAGAAATATTTACGATAGTGCGTAACTGCATCAATTGGCATTCTGCTGAAAAACAGATTTATACACAACAGTTTGAGACTGCAGCATCCTGCCATCTTTCAGGGCTGCTCTCATTAGGGATGTCTATTGAGGAAAGAACGTATCTCCGTGTTAGCATTGCATTTAATAGAACACATGCTAGACTTTACTGAGTCAAAGAAAGATATCCCTGGAATTTTCTTATAGCAAAGCACACAGACAATCTGTATTCATTCTTGACCTTTGCAAATGAAATAAATATCTCCAGAAGATCAAGTTTTGCTTAGTGTCTTTGGGCAATATTATCCCCTTCTTAAATTCCCAGGATTGGTTGGGAACTCTTGACCTTTCAAATGCATGCTTCCATAGCTTAATAAGGCAGTTACACTTGGGGCATTTCAGTCTTCAGCTGGGCAGCAGTACAAGGTGCTAACTCTTGGGGACGGCGTTGCTAGTGCAAATGGATGGTAGCTGAGTATTATGGAAGAGTGAGGATATTGCTGAAGGTCACAGCACTGTGGAGAGGTAGGTGTGGTTCCTGATGTTAGA